GCTGGAAAGCTAAACAACCACTTAAGCTTGAAAAGAGTAAAAAGGAACTCTTACCTTGGCTCTACACGACTTATGAGTAAAAGAACTCAAATGTAAACAATAAGACATATGCAATACATATAAAACTTGTAAAACAATGTAAACAACTTAGTTCGTTAAGGATAAAATGATAACAAACTCGACTTTACTTATATAAAAGTAATATAACTTTTGTGGGAGGTTCTTTAACCGACAACCACCACTATGAGCCCTAGTGATGATACAACGTTTTACCTCACGTTGCCTAAGGACCATCTTATACCTTGCCATGATATAGGACCTTACTTTAACTTAGTGGATCCACTAGCTTAATCTTACGTGATCATCTAAAAAGAATGATACGTCAAGTCCCATGTTGGCGCATGGTTCTTATGGAGAGTTGAGTTAATATGAACTCGCTTCCCCAATTCGGTGTTCAATACTACTCCCAAAAATACTTTGGCTCATAAGTGTTTTAAACACAAACTTCTTTCTTTTAGTTTGAGATAATTGCTCAAAACTTAGCCCAAAGGCTTTTTTGGAAATCATAGTTCCTTTCTTACTTCAAATGTAAAAACATTTATAAACTTCTTTGGGAATACTTAGTTCCCTAATAACTTTTGAGAAATGGACTCAACTTTATGCTCTTGACTTAACTTAGAACTCTATACTTAACTTGAAACTCTATACTCTTTACTTAAATTGAAACTTGAGCCTTGAACAAAGTTAAAATGTTCAATAGAGACTCTTGGAAAAAAACTTTAAAGACTTGCTTCTTAACTTTTAAACTAGACTCTAACTTCACTTGACTTGGATCCTAACTTTCTTGAAATGAATTATGGATTCAAGAGTAATGATTTGGGTTTGGAAGGACCCCATGATGTTTAGGAATAATTTAGGACAGCTAAACTTAAGAAGAATTACGAAATTAAATTCTAAAAACAGTGGAGTCCGCGTCCTGTCCGCTACGCGTTGCAGATTTTGTTCACAGATGGAACAAGTCTGCGACGCAGACTTGTTTCATGCAAGCTGCCCGACTTTTCTCCTTCATGTTGCCAACTCTAAACCCTCTTAACTTCAAAGGTTCCAGCAGCAAACACTTGGGATCATAAACCCCTCAACATACAGTGGATTTCAACTCAAAAACACAACTGGAAACATGTACTAAACCAGCAAGAAACTTCAACAACACAACCACAAGAATTCAACAATCACAACCCAATAACTTCAACAACACAACCAATCTTTTCTCTGAAATAAAACGAGTTTGGCGTGTGGGGGAAAGAACCAACCCAAAACTATGAACTCACATACCTTAATAGGGATCACCCCCGACGAAAACCACGACGATCTTGACGAAATCCTTGTTTCTTCTTCTCTTTCTCCTCTTCTTTCTCTCTTCTCTCCAAAACCCTAACTCTCACTTTTAAAAAGGGAAAACTGATTTAAAATCAGTCTAACACCTCAATATAACCAAAAGAATTGGCTAGGGAAAAGACCAAAATACCCTTAAAATTTTCGGACTAAACTGCCTTGTGCGACTGTGCCAACAGCCCAACTTCCAAAGGGAATAACTCACTCATACGAACTCGGAATCGAGCAAACTCAGCAGCGTTGGAAAGATCATTCCAAGGGATTTCCAGAAATAACTGGAAATTCGCCTAAATCATTCTGAGCAAGGAGTTATGACTGTTTGAAGTTGACAAAAAAAAACTCATTTTTTTCCCATACTTAACTAAATTTCCAGATTCTGACTTCTTCAAAAAAATGACTAATTCCAATTATAAACTTCTTCATAGTTATTTCAAATTGCACGACATTACATACAAGCTGAGATGCAGATGTGATCTTAGACATTACAACATCCTGAAAAATAAATGATATTATGTTAAGAAAAAATGTCTAGCGATTATAAATATACAAGACAAATGATATCCGTCGACCATCTTTGTCATTGACAATACCTCCACCACACTCATCATTTATATAGCTGCAATTAACATTTATTTTGACATACACACATGTAGTTCATATTCAGTGTACAAAAATAGTCTTTTAGGGACTAAGGTTTTTTTTTTTCCAGAACTGAAAAGATAGCATTTCATATTAGTTAGTAAAGCTATGATAGTTCAAATAATACAACTAAACATGCTAAGAAATTTTGAAAGGAAGGATATAGAGGATCACCAAACAAAAGTACAAACCTACCAAACTAAGCTATTCTATGCAAATCAATGCTTTTTAGATGCAATGTAATTCACATTGCCTAAACACGATGAAGCCTAACATATAGGCTTCAAAAGAACCATAAACTTAGTAAACCTCTAATGTGTTGTCTTTTAATAAATAAAGATTACATAATTGGTCTTAAAGTTGGAAAGTAAACCTCATCATTCACTTTTTAATTGGTTTTGTGGCTGTGAGAAAAATTCTTTGGCATTCTTTGACACATCTGCCTCCAGTATTGCTTCTAAAACAATGTCAGAACCTTTTACTCCAGCTATACGTTTTGGCAACAATCTTGCTCTTTCAACAGAGACATGAAGTACAACAATACTGTTAGATTTATCGGTTTGTTCACTCAGACCTTCTCTCTATAGATACAGATTTCAAACGAGCCATCTCTGCCAATCTCGCATAATCACCTGCTTGGCTGTGAATATCAGATAAAGCTGAGTTCCTTTAATTATGCTCCTTAGGTGTGATAGTTACTGTTTTACTCTATCTATCAGATTTTTGAGGTCTATTTTCAACTATTGTAATCTCTTCATCAGATTTTTTAGGTCCATTTTCAATAATTGTGCTCTCTTTATCAAATTTTTGAGGTCCATTTGCAGTCATGTTATCCTCAGTTGTAGTGTTGATGTTGTCCACTAGACCAAAAATGACCAAAAATCTCGAAACCGAACCAACCATTCTACTAGACCAAAAATGACCTTCCGAAACTAACTGCGCTGAAGAAATGTTAATTTGAGCACGTTTACCAAAAATATTGACTAAATCTATATTTTGGCCAAAAGTTAAAAGTTAAAACGTCTAACAGGAAAAACTGAAAATGGAAGCCTCAAAACCTAAACTAACCATCCTATTAGATAAAAAATGACTTTCTGAAACTAACCGCGCTTTATTTTATTTCTTTCATAGAAATGCCCTGAATTGCAATTTGCTCATCAGAATAAGTGCATTTATATGTGGCTGGATCATTTTGTTTACAAATGATACAAATATGAAAGAAATACAAAAGTTGGACCTATTTGATCATGATCTCTATTATATTCAATTATCATAGTGTCACATCATTGGTGCATTTGTATGTCGACGCAAGAAATAATCAAATAATCTCAAACGAATTGGTACATATAAGGAAACATTTCATAATATCTAGGAAACATTTCTTATTACAACAACAATAACAACAAGAAAAAAATTCATTAATATAATGCATAGAAAAATCTTTTTATAACTACGCCATTTGCCAAATATCTTATGGACTTTCGGAGAAAATTCGACTAATATAGTGACATAACGTTACAGAAGATGTCTGCTATAAAGATGTCTGACTGTAGCGATCATCAAGCGGCATAACTTAGAGAGAAGAAAAGATAGGGATGCCAGGTAGTGTGTAACCAACATCAACAATAAATATATTGCCAGATACATAATTTGAAGAATCATGGACCAAATATCTCAATAGTGAAGTCAATGCTGGATCAGTTGTACCAAAAGTTTTAAGTGGAATACTTCTTTTTGCTACATTTTTTAGCCAATCTTTTTTCACTAAATTCTCAGTAATTTCTGATTTGAAAAGACCTGGAGCTATTGCATTCACTCTAATATTGTGTTCTCCCAATTCTAATGCCATTATCTGCAAATTTCATAAACAAAGTTAGTACGATATGTGTTTGATACGACAAACGTCATTTAGGGTTAGGTTATAACCTTTGTTATAGAATCCATAGCAGCCTTAGAGGAACTATAAGCAATACCACCACGCGTTAAAGCTCTATTTAAACCAGAAATTGATGAAATATTAATAATTGAGCCTCCTTTTTTTGAAGCTTGCATTTGTCTTCCAACATATTTGGAAACTAACCAAGATCCTGTCAAATTTGTTCTTAAAGTGTTTTCCCACTCTTCCTCTGAAATATCCACTGAAGATTTTATTCCTCCTATATATAAACAAAAAATATATTCATATTATATACTGTATATGAAATTACATTAAAGTAGCTTCTGTCGAAAAATTATATTGCATATATAGAACAATTATTAGAAGTTCAATGAATTAATGATTTGGAATTCACGAATCTACTCTACTAAAACCAAGATAGATTGTCAAAAATGTAAAGGACGTAGGATGGATAATTGATCAGATCTATTACGAATAAGAGATCCCTCATTTGAGATCTCTATGAAGAGTATCAAGCACGAAATCAAGATTTTATTTAGGATATTATTTTGGATCTCATTGAAAACTTTCAATAACTTACCAAACAAAGGCAAAGAAATAAAACTATAAAATACAATTTTTTAAAACTATATATTATTATTATTATATAAATTGTTGAATTAATCTCCTTTGATAGTAATACATATTTTATTTATTGATAAAGCAGTTCAAAAAGTGTGTTATGTTATGAGTCGAATCTAATTACATATGATATATATTTTAGTATTTTAGCTCCATCGTGACTATAAGTATTAAATATAAAAATTTTGTGAATTTCATATGAAACTACTTATTTATACGTGTTTTTTACGTACGTACCTCTAACGCCAGCATTGTTAATAAGAGCATCAATGTGACCAAATGCATCCCAAGCTTTCTTTAATGCTTCAATAGTTTTACCATCAGTAGTAACATCAAGTTCAATAGCCATAGCTCTAACCAAATGATAATTTGTATTAATTTCATCACAAAGGGACTTCAACCGGTCCCACCTACGAGCACCTGCCACCACTCTGCACCCGGAACTAGCTAGGTCAAGGCAGAATTCGCGGCCAAGCCCCGCCGACGCACCCGTTACAAACACCACTTTGCCTTCCAATTGTAGCCATGGCTCCAGATGGTTAGCTACATTGTTCATTTTTTGAGTCCTTGGCTCAACATATTTTGGTACTTGTGTTGTCATTATTATATTGTGCTAGCTATGGGACTTGCTAGAAGTTTTTGTTCTGTTTTTAAGGTAGGTATGATGTGGACATCTATACAAGTAAAATTTTTTGAATAGGGGACATAATTTTTTATTTTTATAGAAATTAGAAAAACATGGTCCGTGCATATGTATGTGATTCATAGGTTCTACTATAAAACTAATTATTGAATTTTTTCAAAATAAGGGCCCCATGGACCATATTTCAAGTTTTATTATCATCAAAAGACAAAAGTTATGCTGTCCTGGTAATTAATATTTCTCTGTTGAAAAGTGATTCAGATACTTGAACAAGTTTTTAGGAGTTTGTTAGTTAGTTTCCTTTATCTTAGCATGTTTAGATATTGTGGCAGATTAGTAGCTAATTAGTAGTTAGTGGTTTAGTGGACCTAGATTTTAGTATTTTCTGTTTTACAGTAAGCCTATTTATAGGCAGACTTGTTGCTTCCATTATTAATCAGAAAAAAAAAACTTTGCAGTAGCTTTTACTTCTGTTTTTGCTCTATTTTTCTGTTCACTTTCTCCTTTACTTCCTTTTTCTTTCCAACAAATCTGGTATCAAGAGCAAGGTTCCTTTCTGGAAATTGTGAGGAAAAATGGCAGTAAATGGTATTTCATCATCTTCCCAACAACTCATGCCAATTTTTAATGGTGAAAAGTATGAGTTTTGGAGTATCAAAATGAAAACTCTTTTCAAATCACAAGGAGTTTGGGATTTGGTTGAAGCAGGCTTCGTGGAGCAATCAGACTCTGACGAAGAGACGGAAAAATTGAAAGAGATAAAAAAGAAGGATGCCAAAGCGCTATTCCTGATTCAACAAGCAGTCCACGATACAATTTTTCCGTGAATTGCAGCAGCAACTACATCTTCGCAAGCATGAAAGATTTTGAAGAAGGAATTTCAAGGTTCAGCTAAGGTGATTACGAAAAAATTACAGACTTACCGTCATGACTTTGAAACTCTTTCTATGAAAAGTAATGAATCTGTTCAAACTTATTTGTCTAGAGTTTCTTCTCTTGTTAATCAAATGAAGTCTTATGGTGAAAACATATCTGAAGAAACGGTTGTAGCAAAAGTTTGAAGGAGTCTTACTTCAAAGTTTGAACATATTGTTGTTGCGATTGAGGAATCTCATGACTTATCTGATTATACTTTTGATGAACTAATGAGTTCTTTGCAAGCTCATGAAGAGAGGCTCCTAAGATCGCATGAAAAAAATAAAGAAAAGGCATTTCAGGTGAAGGGGGAGTCCATTCATCAGAAAGATAAGCTAGAAAACTTTGCAAATCGTGGAAGAGGCAGAGGTGGTTTTCGAGGAAGAGGCCGTGGAAGAGGCCAAGGAAGAAATCGAGATAGAGGAGGATCAAATAAAGAGAAGCAGGTTAAGACGTTTCTGTGCAGCTACTGCAGAAAATCAGGTCATAAAGAAGCTTATTGTTGGCAAAAACAGAGAGATGAGAGTAACCAAGCAATCTTTGTAGATGAAATTGATGATGACAGTAAGTTGTTCATGGCCCTTTATTGTGAAAAAGAAACTCCTGACGATTTTTGGTTTTTGGACAGTGGTTGTTCCAATCATATGTCTGGAACAAGATCATTGTTCAAGGAGCTCGATGAGTCAAAAAAATCAGATGTAAGGCTAGGAGACAACAAGAAGATTCAGGTTGAAGGTAGAGGTACAGTTAGCATTATGACCAGCCAAGGTAATGCTAAGATTTTAGAAGATGTGATGTTTGTTCCTAGTCTATCTCATAATTTGCTTAGCATTGGACAACTAATGATTAGCGGATACTCAATTTTCTTTGACGATGGTGTTTGCACTATTAAAAATAAGAAATCTGAGAAAATCATTGCTAAAGTTCCAATGGCTAACAATAAAATGTTTCCTCTAGAAGTTTCAATGGTTGAGAGGTGTACTATGGTAGCTAGTGGAGATAATGAAACTAGACTATGGCATTTACGTTATGGGAATTTAAATGTTAATGGATGAAGTTATTGAGTCAAAAGGAAATGATTTTTGGGTTGCCAAAAGTTGAGAATCTTGATTTTTGTGAAAGTTGTGTTTATGGGAAACAAAGTAAAAAATGTTTTCCTATAAGCAAGTCTTGGAGAGCTTCTGTTTGTCTTAAGTTAGTACATGTTGATTTGTGTGGTCCTATGAGTGTTGAGTCTTTAGGGGGAAGTCGATACTTTCTGCTTTTTACTGATGATTATAGTCGTATGAGTTGGATATATTTCTTGAAATTTAAATCTGAAACTTTTGACAATTTCAAGAAATTTAAATCTTTTGTTGAGAGACAAAGTGGATGTAGACTCAAAACACTTCGAACAGATAGATGTGGTGAGTTTATGTCAAAAGAATTCAGTTCCTTTAGTGAGGAAAATGGAATACACATAGAACTCACAGCACCTTATACACCAGAGCAAAATGGTGTAGCAGAACGAAAGAACTGCACAGTTGTCGAGATGGGCAGAATCATGATGGAAGGTAGAGGTGTACTGAAGTGTTTTTTTGGCTGAAGCTGTTGCCACTGCTGTCTATTTGCTGAATATTTCTCCTACTAAGGCAGTGTTTAATCAAACACCATATGAAGCTTGGAGAGGTAACAAGCCCAAGGTAAGCCACTTACATGTCTTTGGTTGTATAGCTTATGCCTTGATAAATTCACAAGCTCGATGTAAGCTTGATGAAAAATGTATTTTTGTTGGATATAACACACAATCCAAGGCTTATAAGTTATATAATCCAGTGAGTGGTAAGATTACGGTCAATAGAAATGTTGTGTTTAATGAAGATGCAAGTTGGAATTAATTCCACAAATGAAAGTTCAAACATTAAGTTGTTGCCTTCTGACTATATTATTGATCAAGAGTATGTAGTTGATCCTTTTTTGGCTGGTCCATCGTCTACCTCATCAATTGCACCAGCAACTTCTCCAATATTGGAAAAACCTTCCGCTAAGCCAACTCCATTAAGAAGATCAACAAGAGATAGGAAACAAAATCCTAGATATGCTAACAGTACATCTTGTACCTTTGCTTTACTTGTTTCAGATCCTATCCTCTTTGAAGATGCTGTAAAAGAGGACAAATGGTGCAAGGCTATGGAAGAAGAGTTGATGGCTATTTAAAAGAATCAGACATGGGACTTGGTAAATTTGCCTGAAGGAAAGAAAGCTATTGGGCTCAAATGGGTGTTTAGAACCAAGTATCATGTTGATGGCATAATCCAAAAACATAAGGCAAGGCTCGTCGCAAAAGGTTATTCCCAGCAACAAGGTATTCACTTTGAAGAAACTTTTTCTCCTGTTGCTCGCTTTGAAACTGTGAGAACTTTTTTAGCCTTGGCTGCTAATTTACGTTGGCCAGTTTACCAATTCGATGTTAAATCTGCCTTTTTAAATGGTGATTTGGAAGAGGAAGTCTATGTCTCACAACCTGAAGGTTTTGTAGTAAATGGCAAAGAAGATAATGTCTACAGGTTAAAAAAGGCACTCTATGGCTTAAAGCAAGCGCCGCGGGCATGGTACTTCAAGATTGATTCATATTTCCATGAGAATGTTTTGAAAGGAGTAACAATGAGCCTACTCTTTATGTAAAACGAGAAGGTAAAAATGATTTTTTGGTCGTATGTCTTTATGATATATATGGATTCAAATGAGTCTATGATCACTGATTTTAAGGACTGCATGATGAAGAATTTTGAGATGTCTGATTTGGGTCTACTGCATTATTTTCTTGGTCTTGAGGTGAAACAGAGAATTGAAGGCATATTTCTTTCCCAAAGAAAATATGCAACAGATCTTTTGAAAAAGTTTACTATGGTAAATTGTAAAGTTGTTGTTACGCCGATGAATATTAATGAAAAGTTGTGTCGTGATGATGGTTCTGAAATGGCAAATGCAACTTATTTTAGAAGTCTGGTTGGTGGTTTGAATTACTTGTCTCATACAATACAAGATATTGCTTTCTCTATTGGCGTTATATCGAGATTTATGCACAATCCAAGCAAGCTTCACCTTGGAGCTGCAAAGAGAGTACTAAGATATATTACTGGGACAACAGAGCATGGAATTTGGTATTCTAAGGTAACAAATTTCACATTAACTGGCTTTACTGATAGTGACTATGCAGGCATCATTGATGATCGAAAGAGCACATCTGGTTTCTTGTTTAATCTTGGGTCTGGAGCAGTTTCATAGAGTTCAAAGAAGCAGGAAGTGGTCGCTTTATCAACTTCAGAGGCTGAATATATTGCAGCAACCTCTGCAGCTTGTCAAGCAGTTTGGTTAAGGAGACTTGTTGCAGATTTTAACCAAAAACCGACTGGTGCAACTAAGATTTTTTGTGACAATATATCTGCTATTGTGATGACGAAGAAGCCAACATTTCACAGCAGAACAAAGCACATTGATATTCGCTATCACTATATTAGAGGTCTTGTTTCTACTGGAGAAATTACTTTGAAGTCTTGTGATACAAATGAGCAAGCAGCAGACATCTTCACGAAGTCACTTCCGCAAACAAAGCGCGAGTTCTTCAGAGGTCAACTTGGAGTTTGCTGTTTTGAATCAAGGGGGAGTGTTGAAAAGTGTTTCAGATACTTGACCAAGTCTTCAGGAGTTTGTTAGTTAGTTTCCTTTATCTTAGCATGTTTAGATATTGTGGCAGATTAGTAGCTAATTAGTAGTTAGTGGTTTAGTGGACCTAGATTTTAGTATTTTCTGTTTTACAGTAAGCCTATTTATAGGCAGACTTATTGCTTCCATTATTAATCAGGAAAAAAAAAACTTTGCAGTAGCTTTTACTTCTGTTTTGGCTCTATTTTTCTGTTCACTTTCTCCTTTACTTCCTTTTTCTTTCCAACAAATCCATATTTAACAAACTTCTCGAATTCAAGCACTAGAAGTTTATAAGAAGGCGTCTTTGATAGTGAGAGAATTTTTCAATACAAATTCAGATTAGTCGGGTCTTAAAAACGAATTCCTAACATCAAATGGAAAGGAAAAGGAAAGAGGTATTACAATAGATGAGTACAAACTACAAAAGGTTAAAGCTTTTAACTTTTGAGTATTTGGTAAAGTAGAAAAATCAGTAGAACATGAATTTCATTTTTAAAAATTATTCAAACACTAAAGAAATATTTAAAAACTATTTTCACTTTATAAAAAACATTTAAAATAAGTCGATCTAAGCAGGTTAGCCGTAAGAATACAGAGACTTGTGGAAGAATGAAGAAAATCACAAGTAGCTTAAACTCATAAAACTAAAACATAGATCAATATTATGAGGGGAACATTTTCTTAAATAAAAATATGATCTAATACACTTTCATTTATTGCATATTTTGTCACCCTATGATGGTCTTATTAATATGGAATTTTATTCTATGAGAAATCCTAGACATTCTATAATAATCTTAGAGCTCGTTTGGATTAGCTTAAAAAAGTAGCTTTTAAGTCAAACTGAAATAACTTTTAAGTTAAAAAATAAAAAGTATAGGAAAACCTACTTTGGTTTTTGATTTATTTTAAACTTATTTTAAGTCAATTTTTTTTACCTTGCCAAACACTTTTTAACTTATTTTAAATCATTTTTGACTTATTTAAGTTATTTTTTATATTTGTCAAACACTTCCAGGAAGTCAACATCGACTCAAAAGTATGCTTAACCAACTTTTAAGCCAATTCAAACACTCTCGTCAGAACAACTAAGTTGTTGTACGTTTGTTTTTTCCCTACCGTACATTTAACTTGTAAACCACTAGTTTTTCATGACAAAATTAATAACAACTACGTTGGTAGGTTTGCGTATCCAGAATTTTGAGATTGACTTAAAAGTTGGTCAAACTTACTTTAAAGTCAGTTTTGATTTTTAGAAGTGTTTGACAAATATAAAAAGTAACTTTAAATAAGTTAGGAAGTTTTTGGCAAGGTCAAAAATAACTTTAAATAAGTTAAAAATGACTTAAAATAAGTCAAAAATCAAATGTAAATCTCCTTATTTTTTATTTTTTGACTTAAAAGTCATTTCAGTTTAATTTTTTATCTCTGACTTAAAATTTTTTTTTTTTTAAAAGTCAATTCAAATGGGCTCTTAGTTGTGACATTATACATATGGACCTTTAATTTGTTTCCTTGTGTGTGTGATTGTTGTAATAATACATTATGTCAAAACAATATTTGTCAAATTACACCAAGCATAAATGAATAGACTTAAAAGGCTAAAATTCAGTTAAGAACTTGAGATATACATTCCAAAATTTACATTTATGAAGTTTTTCCACATATAGTAGAACAATCAAGTCATTGATTATTGTAATTAATTTTGTAACTAACATTAAATTTAGATAAGAACTTGAGATACATAGTCAAACTTTTTTCCATCAACAATTAAAATTTAAGTTTTTGGATAGTATCAAAATTAGATAAAGACGGACTTTTTACTATTTGGGTGTTAAATAGCTGATCTTTTTTATCAAGAATCCAAATTTTAGTTCCTGGGTAGTGTCAAAGTAGGATAAAAATTGAATTTTTAGTTTTTGGGTGTTATGGATAGTTAATCAGGTTATCAAAAATTACATTTTAAGTTTTTGGGTAGTGTCAAAATAGGATAAAGATTGAATTTTTACTCTGTGGGTGTTATTGATAGTTAAATCTTTTTATCAGAAATCCAATTTTTAGTCTCTGGTTAGTGTGAAAATTGGATAAAGATTGATTTTTTACTCTTGGGTGTTATAGATAGTTAATCTTTTTAGTCAAAAATTCAATTTTTAGTTTTTGGGTATAATCAAGATTGAATTTTTACTCTCTCGGTGTTATAGATAGTTAATCGTATTAGCTTGGGGTTGTTGTTTAGAAAGGTTCTTGATTCACAATCATGAAAAAGATGTCTAGCGAACTTAGGCAATGGAGAGCCTATTTTAGGTCATCAAACTTGAACATTTTTTACATAATTGAATCTGCTTTAAGAGTAGCAGCCATTGATCACCCAAAAGAGTTTAAATTAAGAAGAGATGGAATTAATGAGCTACTCTTCTCAATTGGGGATTTTGATAGTGATAAGGCAGAAAATGTTGTTGATGTTGAGGGAGATAAGGGTAAAAGAAAGTGTAAAAATGAGTTAAATGATTGTGATATTGAAAAAAGGAAAAGTGAAAGCAATGTTGAAGTTGAGGCATTGAGTGATGAGATAGAGGAAGAGTCTCGAGTTGTTAACGAGGCTCTTTCGATCAAGAACAGCTATGTTGAAGTTGAGGCATTGAGTGATGAGATAGAGGAAGAGTCTCGAGTTGTTAACGAGGCTCTATTGATCAAGAAAATCATCGATAACAATCAAAATGAGGTACATATCAATAGAGTGATTTTACTTCACTCAATTGAACTATTTTTTGCTATTGTTGGTTTTGTACATGTTTTCTTGATTATTTTTTATACATTATGAAGTAAGAATTTTTTTTTGTCTTTATTGATATTTGATTGTAGTTAGTCTTTGAAACAATGTAGAAATGTGATGCCATTTAGTTTCCTTTATTTCTGCTTTGAAATGTTTCTACTTGAGTCGAGGGTCTTCAGTTGTAAGATTTTGATAATGTTATGTTCTTTTGACAGTCTGATTCGAATATATATAAGAGCTTAAAGAGGCTTCAAATGATGGCTTTGTCCGTGGAGATTCTGCAGGTTTGATCTTTTATCAATGTATTGATTTGATTTGCAATTTCTTTTATCAGCAATTCGTACTCAACGTATATATTTTTATATCAGAACACAGAAATTGGGAAGTCTGTTACTACTCTCAGATGGCACAACTCAAAAAATATTCGATGTCTGGCCAGGAAGATGGTCAAGTATGTCACTCTTTTTTTATTGCTGCTGAACTATGACATGATGCTTCATTTAATATAGTTTTGAACAATATTTCTTTTTGAGTTATCGCACCATTTTGTCATCACTTGCAGCTTTTGTAGGATTTTCATATTGTTTTTTTATTTATTTACATGCTAGCGTGGATAATACAGGGAGTGTGATGATGTCCTTACCTTATTTGTACAGTTTTCTGCTTCAGTACTATTAAGTAATTGAAGCATATACCTAATTTCACCACTTTGTGCACTTAACCGCGACTTTTTGTGTTTGATTGTGGTTATATAAGAAACTGTCGTTGTGTAGAAACATTGATTATTCCCTTACAATGACTTAGATTAGACTGGATGGATATGGTAAACGAGTGTCGTTGTGTTTATTCCTTTCTCATGCATCACAGGGGGTGGATTGAAATGGTACAAGAGTGGATGGATGCTCGAGCAACATTAACAGGTCCTCCAAAATTTAGTGTTCTGTATTCTATGTTTAAGGTCATTATTGAAGTCTAATGTGGTGAGTTGTGAAATTATTGGTACAGAAAGGAAATCTGAGTCTACGAAAGCATTTGTTGTTGATGAAGAAGACGGAGGACTTCCTGCCCCACCCTTGGAGGACATACCTTTCCTTTTTACTCAGACAACTTCAATCGAGTTGTCACAAGTATGCCTAACGTCATACCTTTCTTCGACAAAATCATTTATCTTTATCTTCATGATTGAAACTGACTCGTTTTTATCATTCTCTATATATTAAATGTAGATCTTTGATGGCATGGATGATGATGGAAGTGAGTAGAAACTTTTGTCCTTGTAATTATTTCAAATCTAGTCTTTTCTATTCGATTCTTCATCTAATCGTGGATTTTCTTTCAGATGTTATAATCAGCGTGGGCCAAAAGGACGAGCAAGAAAGGAAACAAACTTCAGTACTTGTCAAACCAAATATGCCTCCCGGAGGCAACTCAGGGCGTGGAAGACCAACTAAGCCAACGCTCGAACAAAAGCTCAACAATGATCATGAAATGAAACTCAAGGAGAAATCTGACCAAAGAAAAATTCAAACAAGGCATGTGCCTACTCAACAAAACGTGAGTGAGTATTCGAAGGGTGTGAATTTCTAGTTCATGTAAAGCTTCGATTTCTAACTAACAGATCATCATTTTGTTGTATCAGAAACTGAAATGCCCCGATGAGGATGTAGAACATTTGAAACTTGAGGCCACAAAGCGAAAGCTCCATGAGTGTTACCAAGAAGTTGAAAATGGTTAGTTTGGTGCGTAGACTTAAATAACTCATTGTGCACTACAAAACATGTCTGATGATATTTCCTTATCAATTGTTCTTCAGCGAAGAGGCAGAGGACTGTTCAAGTAATGAAGTTGAAGGACATACCTAAGCAAGGCCGTGGCATTAGAAAGCCTCATAATAGGCATTTGGTAAATAGGCGTCAATGAATCATTTCTTCGCCTTTGCTAGTCAATCTTGTCAGTGAAGACTTGTGTCAATGATATCAACTAATAACTCAACATATAGTGGATCTCGTCTAGTTAGGAGAGGTGTGTGTTTTAAAATGTTGTTCAAATTATACATTTTCCTGTTGGAAGGATCTGAATTGTGCCCCGATTTTCGAGTTTTTTGAACATTAGCCTGCCCTTTATTTTATTTCTTTCATAGAAATGCCCTGAATTGCAATTTGCTCATCAGAATAAGTGCATTTATATGTGGCTGGATCATTTTGTTTACAAATGATACAAATATGAAAGAAATACAAAAGTTGGACCTATTTGATCATGATCTCTATTATATTCAATTATCATAGTGTCACATCATTGGTGCATTTGTATGTCGACGCAAGAAATAATCAAATAATCTCAAACGAATTGGTACATACAAGGAAACATTTCATAATATCTAGGAAACATTTCTTATTACAACAACAAAAAAAAAAAACCATTAATATAATACATAGAAAAATCATTTTATAACGACGCCATTTGCCCAAATATCTTATGGATGCTTCCAAAGGAAATTTGACTATTATAGTGACATATCGTTACATAAGATGATTGTTATAAAGATGTCTGACTATAGTGATCATCAAGCGGCATAACTTAGAGAGAAGAAAAGATAGGGACTCCAGGTAGTGTGTAACCAGCATCAACAATAAATATATTGCCAGATACATAATTTGAAGAATCATGGACCAAATATCTCAATAGTGAAGTCAATGCTGGATCAGTTGTACCAAAAGTTTTAAGTGGAATACTTCTTTTTGCTACATTTTTTAGCCAATCTTTTTTCACTAAATTCTCAGTAATCTCTGATTTGAAAAGACCTGGTGCTATTGCATTCACTCTAATATTGTGTTCTCCCAATTCTAATGCCATTACCTGCAAATTTCATAAACAAAGTTATTATGATAGGTGTTTGATACGACAAACGTCATTTAATTTAGGGTTAGGTTATAACCTTTGTCATAGAATCCATAGCAGCCTTGGAGGAACTATAAGCAATACCACCACGCAGTAAAGCTCTATTTAAACCAGAAATAGATGAAATATTAATAATTGAGCCTCCTTTTTTTGAAGCTTGCATTTGTCTTCCAACATATTTGGAAACTAACCAAGATCCTGTCAAATTTGTTCTTAAAGTATTTTCCCACTCTTCCTCAGAAATATCCACTGAAGATTTTATCCCTCCTATAGATAAAACACACAAAATAGATTCATATTATATATATGAAATTATATTAAAGTAGCTTGAGCCAAAAAATTATACTGCATATATATAGAAGTGCAATGAATTAATGATTCGGAATTCACGAAAACTTTCAATAACTTACTAAACAAAGGCTAAGAAAAAAAAAAACTATAAAATACAATGTTTTTAATTATTATTGTATAAATTGTTGAATTAATCTTCTTTGATATAAATAAATATTTTATTTAGTGACAAAGCGTTTCAAAAAGTATGTCATGTTATGAGTCGAATCTCAAAATGTCATATATGTATTTTAGTATTTTAGCTCCATCGTGATTACAAGTATTAAATATAAATATAAATATTTTGGGAATTTCGTAAGAAACTACTTATTCATTCGTGTTTTTACTAAAATCTAACCGAAATCGATAAATAAAATTGATAAATTCTAAAATCAGCCGAACCGATCGATATGCAACACATATTTTGTTGGTATAAACTTTTTTACGTACGTACCTCTAACGCCAGCATTGTTAATAAGAGCATCAATGTGACCAAATGCATCCCAAGCTTTCTTTACTGATGCTTCAATAGTTGTACCATCAGCAGTAACATCAAGTTCAATAGCCTTAGCTCTAACTAAATGAGAATTTGAACCAGCCATTGTATTAATTTCATCACAAAGGGACTTCAACCGGTCCGCTCGACGAGCACCCGCCACGACTCTGCACCCGGACCTAGCTAGGTCAAGGCAGAATTCGCGGCCGAGCCCCGCCGACGCACCGGTTACAAACACCACTTTGCCTTCCAATTGTAGCCATGGCTCCAAATGGTTAGCTACATTGTTCATTTTTTGAGTCCTTGGCTCAACATATTTTGGTACTTGTGTTGTCATAATTATATTGTGATAGCTATATGGGACTTGATAGGAGTTTTTTTTGTTAGGAGTTTATTAATTCTAATATAATTAGATGTGTACATATATATAGGTAAAAAATTTGAAAAGGTGAATTGAATAGGGGACATAATTTTGAAATTAAAAAATCATGGTTCATGCATATGTATGTGGTTGATAGGTTCTAGTAAGGATGTGAGGTAGATATCAAACTCATCATTGATTTTTCCAAAATGAGGACCCCATGGACCACACTATAAGTTTTATAATCATCCAAAGTGATGCCGGAATGGTAATTAAAACTTCTCAATCTTTAACAAACATTTCAAATTCAAAATTTAGATATATATATAAGAAATCGTATTTAATAGTGAACGCTCTAATTTACCCTAAAGTAGAATTTTTCAATACAAATTCAACTTAATCAGGCCTTAAAACGAATTCCTAACATCAAATGGAAAACGAAAAGGAAAGAGGTATTACAATAGATGAGTACTAAAACTTTTGAGTGTTTGGTAACGTATAGAGAAATCTATAGAACATTAATTTCATTTTAAAAATTAATTCATACACTAAAAGAAATATTTATAAGCTATTTTCACTTTATAAAAAACACTTAAAATAAGTCAATTTAAGTTGGTTAGCTCTATGAAGACAAAGACTTGTGGAAGAAAGAAGAAAAGCAAAAGTAGCTTAAACCCATAAAACTAAAACATGCATAGATGAATATGAGGGAAACATTTTCTTAAATTACTAAAATATGGTCTATTACACTTTCATTTATTGCATATTTTGTCACCCTATGGTGATCCTATAAATATGGAATTATATTCTATGAGAAGTCCTATTCATTTTATAATAGTCTTAGTCAAAACAGCTAAGTTGTTGTACGTTTGTTTTTTCCCTATAGTACGTAAAACTTGTAAATCACTTATTTTTCATGACAAAATTAATGGAGTAACAGTTGGTAGCTGGGTTCCAGCAAGGGTTATAAATTTACATGAAAAAAAAAATAACTTTTTTTTAATAGAACCACCGGTAGATAATTTTATCTTTCATATAAAATAGATAATTTCATGATTTTGGTATAAACTATCATAGATTTCTCACTTTCCCCAAAAATGCCTTTTGAGCTTTTGTGTTAGAGTACAATAGGACATGATAATAATTATAACAAATTAACTAATTTAAATTCACGTATATAGAGAGCGCTTATTAAGTGTTTCGTATTAGAAGTTTTTCTATTTCCAGAGTTTTAAATTCTAAATTGTAAATTAAAACGATGAAAGATCTTGTATATCTTATATTAGGGCTGAGGGTAATTCTTAGAATCTCGAAATCATAAGTTTCACTTCTCATTTGTATTTCATCATACCTATTAGGTGATAAAGTAAAGATATATTTTTAACAAGACGCATTAGGGCAACACATAAATGGTGAAGGATACGGTATATATGGATCAAAATTAAAGCTATTATTTTTCTGAATTTTTTTTGTGAGCCAGCTGGGTAGGTGGTAAAAACAATTATTTTCCTTTATATAATTCTCTGTATATGCATGCATGCGGGACAATTTTGCGCTAATTATCGTATACGTTCTCATCGTAAAAAGTACGTGTATTTCATACGTATAAATATGTTGATTATACTAATAAATAACTCGAGCCCAATCTATAATACTAAATGAGCTATAGCCTATCAATTGGGGGGGGAAAGGAGGAGGAATTTTCACAAATAGTAACTATATATAATAAATGTAATTATGCTCCATAGCTATAGTTGACATATTTATGGGATGTGGCTGCTGTTTAAGCTACATCGTTTGTATAATTCGTGGGTACATTTGTATTTTTGTATAAACTCGAATTTCTACAAATACAAATATTTGATCTTTAAACAGTTATACAAATTATATTATACAAAATTACATTATAAAGTTATACAAATTCTGAATGATACAAACGTGCAAATTATATAAATTCAAAACCCCAGCCCACGTAATTATCACCGAATATAGGTCGCGAGTGGTAGTTAACTTAAAATATAGCCATGATGACTAATAAACTAATACTGTAATTTCACCCAAAAAAATGAGTTTGTATATCAAGCCCAAAACTTTGTCTTATTGGGCCTTATATTGTTAAGATTTTCTGTTTGAGAAAAATTTACCAAGAGCCCATGGGCTAATTTGTTAAGCTAAAATCTGCTGGTTAACTGAAAAGGAATAAGGCCTAAAGCCCATTCTGTTGTTTGAATTTGGGTAAATCACATAAATATGTTATATTAAAAAAATATTTACCATCTATAGCAATATAATTTTTCTAACTAAATATAATAATTTTTTGAAATTAAAAAATTGTACCGTCTATATTCGCTTTGCCTCTTTCTCTGCCTTTTTTTTTCTCTTCCTCCTCTGCTTTTATTTTTTTTCTTCGTCTCTTTTTGTGTCATTCTATATCTTCCTCCTCTTCTTCTTCTTTTTATTCTTCTTCTTCTTTCAAATTTCCATCTAAAGAACTCCTCTACTCAGTTTTTACCCATAATTTGCAATTTTCACCCAAAAATACGATGTTAAAAGGAATAGAAAGACCGAAAATTTGTACAAAATTAAGTTTTCAAGCAGAAATTTCAAATATCTAAAATTAAAACAACAAAAGTTCACCATTGATGGTTATTATAAAGCTTCAAATTTTGAATTCATTATTTGAATTTTATGAATTTGTGATTAGTTTCCATTCATATTTAATTCAACTTTAATATGTGTGTAATACTTTTTAATTCAAGTTTAATTCATTTGGCAGTTTATTATGTTTCTTCATTTCTTACGATTAAATTACTTGTCTAATTAATTATTGATACAAGTTTTATTTAGTCTACGAATCATTGACTGCTCTTTTGTTTGTATTAGATATATTTCATAATTGTATTAAAATTGTATTAAAATCATGAACAATACATTTAAAATACATATTGCGAATTTCACTCCCCTTTTAATGATACCAACTAAAATAATTTAGGTGACACACTTATAATACATTTTTAATACATATTGCAAACATCACTCATGTTCTTAGTGATACAAACCAAAAATAATTTACAAGACACATAAAATACTTGTTTTATTCATGAATAATACAAGTTTAATTCAATCTGTAGATTATTGTCTTGTCTTTCGTTACTTACACTTTTCATTCATTCTTAATTCTCTCTTCTAATTCAATTTTAATTTTGTATAATACATTTTTAATGCAAATTTAATTTTGTATAATACTTTCATTAGTTACGTTTTTTATTCATGCTTAATTCTCTCTTCTAATTCAACTTTAATATTTGTGTACTACACTTTTATTTTAATACAAGTTTAATTCATTTTGCAGTTTATTGGTTTATTTGTTACGATTGGATTACTTGTTTAATTCATTATTGATACAAATTTTATTCAATTTACAGATAATAAAATGCTCTTTCGTTTGCTACATCATTGATTAGCCAAGGATTGGAGAGATCAAAAAAGAGCTCATAAAAAGTTTGTAGAGAGAAAGAAAGGAAGAAAGAGTGTGAGAGAGAGAAAAAAAAAGAGCGAGAGAAACACAATTTAATAAAATACATTGTATTGTTATATATTGCTATAAATGGTAATAATTAAAGAGTATATTTAAAATAAGTAATTATTTTTTAAAAGGGATCCACTCAAGTAATTAACCCTTTGAATTTCACTCATATGAATCCATAAAAGAAAAGACAATCATCAAAAATTCTAGTGCGATGGATAAGATCTCTACAATTTTAATTACAGATTAAGAATTTCGAGTGAACAAAATTGTAATGAAGCATAAACATGACAATCAAACACGACTCTTTCTTAATAGGAAAAAGAAAACTTCATTAAATAGTTTGTGAAAAGTATTTCTTACTTCATCTTTGATCTTTCCTTTCATATTTTACTCAATTTTATACGACACGATTTTAAATTAATCAAATCTTCGTATAAATATTGAACATTGAAAAAAAAATATGATCAAGGTAAGGACAAGAGGTAAGTGTTACTTATAAGCACGAGAACCTGAAAAGATTTTGGAAAGGAATTAAAGTACTAAAAAGAAGAATAAAAATGAAAGGGACATAACATAACAAGAAAGAATATAAACAAAAACATAGTTTATGTGGAAATAATGATTACTGCATCCTCTGTAGCACACAAAAAAATTGATGGGAATCTATAATATCTCCTCCTGCAATTATTACATATTAGATATTCTAAATCCTACTTTTATTTACTAGGTCACTTTCATCCCATATCTATACTATATCATAATAATATATTTTATAATTATAAGAGAAGAACTGAAAAGGATAAATGTATATACAGATTTTATTTCTAAAAGTTTTTTAATCTTTACGTATTTCGTGAACATAGATTTTGACTTAAATAACCTAGTATATCAAAAATAGTTTTAAAAGGCATATGTAGATTTTTGACTTAATAACATGTTTATATTGATTTTTCTTTCACGTGAGATATTACGATCCAAACTCTTCACATGTATTGTTTGTTTGACTTAATAAATTACACTAATTTGTTTATTGAGTTCAAAACATGTGTAATATTTTCACTTTCCACTCCATTTTGATATAGGGTTCGACTAATTAAGAGGTGTGTTTCTTTTAGTGACACTATTCAACCAATCCAAAACTTTAAAAACTAGTAAATCGCCTTGAACACAAGTGGTTTACAAGAATGATTTTGGAGGTGAACATTTTTGAATTTTTGACCTTACTTACTTTTTGATAAAATTCGAAGTTGAACAAATTTTGATCTTTGGTCTTGAAAGTTTATTCATGGAACACGCAGAGTCTAGTTTTAAGACCATTCATTTCAAGATCATTGGATATAATTTTTTGGAACATAACATATCCAGTTACGTTTAGACTCAACATTGGATCAATTGTTCATGCTTAAATTAACCAGACCAATTCAAATTTATTTTCCAATTTATCTTATATATTTAAGATCATAAGTTTAAACACTTTTAAC